GACCGAAGTGCCGCACGTCAGTGCCCATTCTCGCGCTCGGCCACCGAGCTTTGAGATGACTAGCGCTACGAGCTGTTGCTCGGTCTGGAGCATGGCGGATGCGACAGCCATCTCGACCTCTCTCACCCAGAGCAGGAGGTTCTACCCATCCCCCCCCCAAAGACCTTAACGTTCACCATAAGCGGCATAGGGCGGGGAATATCATCCGTCACCGACGGTGGCGTCATAGACGCAAATGATGCAGACATCTTCTGCTGCCGGTGCTCAAGCAGCGCGTTCTCGTAACTCGAAAACGCCTCCAGACGCACACCGATTGCCTCGGGGCCTTGCGCTACAAGGTGTTGCACGCCCTCAGTGCCAAGCAAGGACATCAGCTTGTTGAGCCCGTCCTGCATGCCCTGGGGCAAAGAGGAGAATTTCTCCATCCCCAGAGAGTCAGTCTTAACAACTCAGGTGCAGATTGACTACAAGTGCTTCCAAGTGCAGCGGGGCTGTCGTAGCTTAGCGCTTGAGGAAGCGTAATTTAGGTCACCGACCTTTCTTTCTTTACAAGAACCAATACGAGTATAGCGGATCGCAATCCGCCAACTCCAAGAGTAGTTACTACCTTAACCAAGGCTAGTAAATTCTTTGGTTTAAATTCAAAAGTGATTTATATTTATTTTTATCTATGTTAAATCACTTAATTCTAAATGTATAGATTTTACTAAATATTTATAGTAAAATCTAAATACATGCATAATCACTGGCTATACCGTATTCTTATTTGGGTGCAGTCACACCATGCACATCTCGTGTGACACACCCCTGTTTCCAGGGTACGTGTAACCCCGTTACAGACACAATCATGTTAAGCTAGACTATTCGTTTATCCTTTACGCGTCGATCGTGGGATTGAATACAACTGCTTCAAGTACGACGGGGGCGCCATGCACGTTGTATAGAGAGTCGTTGACCCTTAGAGTCTTCGTAAGCAAACGCACAGAGAATAGGTTTGTGCGCACCTTTTAGGAGCAAAACCAAGAACGTATATGGTAACAGTTTGCTTTGGTATTTTAATAGTATATATAAATTATTTACTTTTTTGGATCAAAACTAAATATGGGGATTTAACTCATTTGAAACTGTTAAGCTTTTGACGTACAGCCAGCAGCCCATGTATACCTTGCCCTCCTCCTTTTGAAGTTCCGTCGTCTTCAGTTATTTCGATATTCGGCAATCAGCACTTCTACCAAGTGTAACACGTAAACGTAAAACTGTACATCATTTATCAATGCAATTGTGTAAGAGGAAATTACACAAGATTCTAGCGGTTCTAGTGATTTCTTTCAACTATACTAAACATTAGATCAATATTTTTGAACTTGAGATGGTTGTATCAAAATATAATTGTTAAGCAAACAAGATTATAGTATTTACCCCGTCCGTAATGGGTGCGGGGGAGCGTAAAGGACGCCTCGGTCTCGGTGAGGTTTCTATAATTGAGTTCGTACCGTATCGTGGCGTACGTGTACATTACAATATCGTGCGAAAATCTTTATGTAAATCGTTATAAATGTTCTGCACGTATCTAATGATTGTCTAGTCTCAAAATGGTTAATCATCTGATAAATATGAATGCTCGTTAATGTATGGCTGTGAGCGATTTGACAAGCTCGTTTGTGAAGAAGGAAATGGACGCGGCTTTCGTGTCATTTAAAGTAATACGATTTTCGGCAAGCTCAGCAAGTTTTTCACGGAAATACATACAGCAAAGCGATAGAGTGCCGTTAATATTGTACCCTCGCGAATAGTCCACCGCCTCGCCGCAGATATTTCGTGAAGAGATTTAGCACTGTATATAAAGCGCAAAAGAGAAAGAGTACATGTCGATTCTGAGTACAAGGGATCCGTTTCGGATTTTTGGATGGCTTTTGAATGCGAAGTTGACTATCCAGTTTGCTTATGACAAATGGATGAATGACCATCACGATTTTTTTGCAAAGCTCAAAATGTTTCTTTGATGTTGCAGTTTTTTCTGATGCCAGTACTGTTGATGCCAGAAACAGTTCCAAAATTATGTTGACACGTTTAGAAGCTCTCTTTCTACAATATTCAGAATCCACGGCATATGCTACGAACACAAGATCTTTGATACTAAACGGCGTATCGTTTGATTAACAATATTTTATTTGCAGCGTCTTCAGCAGTGGATTTAAAAACATTCTCTATTTCAGGTCAATTATTACTTAATTTGCAGAAATTTTGTAAATTTGACTTGTTAATCTCATAAAATTCACTTAAACCCTAGAGATAAATGAATTAAACCTTTGTTTGTGAAGAAGAAAAACAGATAAAATAGATATTAGTAGCAATACTTAAGTGCCAAATTTTATTTGTGCTGTTATCCAGAAGATAATTTATATCATTGAATTATATATATAATCTTGTTACTGTATGCGGCAAAGATTTCATATCACGAGATGACGACAGCAAGCAACACGTGTTATTTATCTCATGATGATGCGCTTCACAGCTTCAATAAATTCTATGTTGCCTATGTTGCCTATGTTGTCTCTCAGTCGCGCTGTCAACTCTACATCAAATTCGACGACATCAATTTGAGTATTTTCACTTATCTGACCTTCGTATATATCTTCCACATGATATGTGTGAAAAGCATTGGTCTGGTGTGATGCTACTCGACAAGCTTCCACCTCGACTATCATATAGCAAACAGAATAAAAAAGCTTTGTGTTTTATAATTAGATGGAATACTGTTGTACGACAACACGTTCGTGAAGGAAGGCACGCAACAACAAATATCTGATCTTATCCTTCCTGATCAACGACACTGACAAGCGTTGACGTAATATGCTAATTTATGCATTTATCTGGTTGCGAGATGCTGACCCAAAGTCAAGAGTGGCTTAGAATTGTTTGACCGAATACCGACTTGATGACCTCGCCAAGAAAGAATTTCTTTGTCCTCGTCATTCATTGCCCCAACAACTTAGGCCCAACCTTGCATAGATATATCAATCATCCCAATCATCCTAATGCGAGGTTTTGCTTATCTTTTGATATGATGAGGTGTATGTTGTTACTTGAAGGACAAATATCTATTTTGTCACCTTCTGTCAAATCTAATACATCAATCCTAGAGAGAAGTAGAAATAGAAATAAACGGCCTTCGTAATCAAGCAACTTGTCTTTTGAAGTTGCCCTTTCCATACATACACACCACACACCTTCCTTAACATCTTCCTGTCGTCAGGAATGGGTGGCCGATCAGTAAAATATTTCGATTGTATGCTCGTGAAGACACAGTATTTTCTTGCATGTATTGTCGCTGCTCAAATATTATCCTGAATCACGTAAGGTGGTAGGTACTCTATGAGAATGGAAATAAAATATCGTCTGAATCATCGCGAGTACAATTTCAATGCAGCCGAGGAAAAAGTTGTCTTCCTTTGAAGTGAAGACTACAGCGCAAATGTGAAGATACTCAAGCCACCAGAAACAGAAAGTGCCAACAATTTATATTGAAACCCAACCGCTCGTTTACGATATAGTATTTCGCAGATAAAATAGTGCATAGTAGCGAGATTGCGTCGCCATCGTCATCAGGTCAAGCACAAAACGAGGCGCGTATGCAAATCGTGGCAGGTTGCATTGGCATGTCATTTTTTGCTAAATGCCTGCAAAGTTGCGTTCATTTCTCTCTCTAACAGAATCACACCGAGACTAACTACAAGACTTCGTATGATCTTATATTCAAGAATTTTGGAAAATTGCTTCTTCCACTTTTTGTTATAATTTTGACAATAAGGGTCATAGCCGAAATTAAAAGTAATTTATGGTGCGACAAGCGCATAGGGTTGTGATCAAACACAGCGCACATGACATCAAATGTCATGGAGCGTAATAAACATGACGCACTTACGGTGCCGCAAGCGTCGTGTCGCGCTAAATTAGGTCAGCACATCGACTCGGTGTATTGGATTGCGTGTTATGCTAAAGAAATGTCGGCGCAGTACATGGCATGTCTTCATTTTGTACAATCAGCCCATCCGAAGTATAATCAAAAATTATCTGCACATCATGATTCGACTTGTTACTGCACTTAATGCTTTGATCTTGTAGCAAACGTCATTCGTAGTTGACGGACATCAAGTAAATATTATAGTCACTTAAGATTCAATCTGCCAAGGTTTGTTGCTTCATTTTACAACCTGCTTGCTCAGGCTAAGTCCTGTTCAGCAGCCTTTACCTTCAAGTCCTTTTCCAACTCAAAGATAACATCATGCTACCCTGTAAAAAGTTGTTTGGAATGTACGCGACCGCATGCATGATCACGTACAGCATCACGAATGCAACCTTTAACAACATGCCTGCAGACTTCGATGAAGTTGGGCCTTTTCCTGAAACTTCGGGTCCTTCAGAAGAACAAAACCAGTTTAATGTAGCTGACCAAATTAAACCTGACTCAGGCGTTAGTGCTGATGTCGGTTTGATGATTGAAAATGCCGGCTTCGACGCTGGAGCCTTGATAAATGGGGATGTCAAACTTTACAAAGACGCGATTCAACCGTCAGACTTGGTGAATACTGCTGACGAAAAAAATCCCAACATTGCACAAGTCAGTGAAGTTGTTCCTGGAATCAAGTTGGGCGATGACAGAGCTCCAGCAGGAGTTGATCCCGAATTTGAAATCGGTGTTAAAGCTGGAGCTGCTATTAGTCTCGATGTCGGAGCTGCGTTAAGTGTTGATGCCGCTGCAGCGTTAGGAGTCAATGCTGGAGGTGCTGCTGGTCTCGATGGCGGAGCTGCTTTAGATGTCGATGCCGC